TTGTTTAAATTCTGTCATAGTTTTATATCGAAAAAAACACAAGAATTATATGGAAAGTTTTTAGTTTACACTTACTTTAAATTTATACGTTGATCTGTAAAAATTTGAATTTAGTTTGTCTGTTATTAATTTATAACAAAATTTGATTTTAAATTTTCTACAAAATTTCAATCGTTCGTAAATTTGTTTTGTTTGATTTTGTTATCTAAATTTATCCCAAAAATTTTTTTGTTCGTGTCTTGTTATTGTATATCAACACTTCTCTTTCCTTATAAGTAAATTTTTTTAGTAGTTTTTGATCATAAAACTTTTTTAAAAGTTTTTTTTGGTAAAGTTAAAAATGATTTGATTGTTTTATACCTCAAGTTCGCACTTTTTTACTTATTACGAGAGTATCGTTCTAGTTGTCGTTCATTATTCTGATATGGCATTCTCTCGAAAAAACTTTCTAAGTTCTTAAAACTAGAATGGGAGGATCCTATTAAATTGGAATAGAAAGCCCTTTATGTATCGTAAAAAATAAAAGGTATTATGCAACTACAGTACTTGATCTAGATGACTTGAAGAATTATCGCATCCGTAATAAGGCACCAATCATCATGCAACTGCATATCGATATAATCTTACCAAGTTGGAAAAGTAGTGGGAATATTTTGCCGTGTACCGCGGTTAGGTAATTTCACTATCAGTTCATTTCTACACCAAGGCACATTAAGGACACCACTGCAGGCAAAGGACTATTCAATAGTCTACCGCGCCCAGTCATTCCCAGTGACAGTGGTTTTCAATTATATGGAAATAACGCTCGTGGTATCGCCCATCACAACAATGGGATTAGCTGGACCAAAGGGGGTCTTTGAGGAAAGAATATTCTTACCATCGATGCCGCAGGTAGGGGATACAGTTCAGGCAGAAGTAATAAAACTTGAGCAAGGACGTATGGAATTTGGAGTAATGTGGCAGAATCAAGAAGTAAAATATTACCTTCCACATGAACTTAAAGATATCGAAACCACTGGACATGCCCTGGAAGAGCATCGACTTTGGGTCCGATGTGTCCGGAATTCGAATATCAATATCGGCACCATACCGCAAAAGTTGAAGAACTTAAATGAGGACCTCTTGGTAGGTACCAATGATTAAGACACAGCAATTTAGGCAGTGGAAAGGGCGAAATTAACCCTGTGGCCAAGTCGGGCATACCCACAAGAGGCAAAAAATAAGGTAAGGTGATCGCTCATAACAAAGCAGAAGCTAATTTGGCATTTTTCGTACCATTTTAGGCTAAGGATCGAAATAATGAGCTCGCTTTAGCAGCAAAGTTGAAATTTTGAGAGATTGGGATGATTATTAAAGCCGAAGATTGCTATTCTAGTGCACATCTGTATCGTAGTGAGATAAAGATGGTCATCACAAAAATAGAGGCAGACGAAAATGATGTCATACGGCTAGAAGGCAAGTCCAAGTTGCATTAAACAACGCTGCGCCTTTGATTTTCCCCAGTGACGTCAGTAATATTGTAAATAAAATTGTTCTATAATTTCCTCCTTTGACTTCTCGTCGTCCTGGTTGATGTGCTGCCACGCGGGACTCGCTTTTTAAATACGTTCATTTCAAGAATGCTAATCAGTTAGTACAAAAAACCTCAAACTTGGGTAATTAAACCAAAGTTGTTCTAGTTTACACTCCAATAGAGTGCTAATGACAAGTACCCATAAATTAACAAATCATTAGACATTATAGGAATTGAGTGATATAGCAAAAGAACTCCTAAACTCAAAGAAAAAAGATGACTATTTGAGCATCCGGAGCTAAATTCCGGTCCTTATTTTCCCACCAAAATCAAGCATATAAAAACCTGAGCATAGAGGTTAATGATTATTACGAATCTTTCGGTTAATTATTCCTGTTTGGATTGACTCAAAGTTTTCTTTGCCTTTTATTCTTGAGATATTTTTCATTTTTTCAAGTTTTTAACATCTCCTGTGTATAGATTTTACTGTCTGTGTTGTCTTATCGGGAATTTTTCTGTTGCCAGTATTTACTTGTGTTGGTATAAAAATAAATTGGTTATCTATCAAAAATTTAAGTACCGTAAGAGCTTACGATCTGTAAAGTTAAGATTGTAAGCACATTAGTACAATAAGTTAAATAGAAGAAACTTACAATAAGAAATTTGAGAGAGGTTTGGTATAGCCTATAAAAAAATTATACTTCAAATAAAATACTGTAGCTAAAGAAATAAGTTTTACTACAATAATACAAAATTATAAAACGAAGCATACAAAATAAAAAACGAAAATCGTTAGTAGAGTTAATCGCTCCAAACTTGAGCCCGTTTCCCAACCGTGCTTGGCCTGGTTAAATAGTCGCCTTTAAATTGGGCGGGGTTGATAGTCTTTTCAGGTCATACCCCGCCAGTAACGACCTGCTCCGCGATATCATTCCATAAACAGGGGCCGCTTTCCCACAGCTGAATTAGACCCGCTAATCCTTGTTTCTTGCTCCCCGGCTCGGGGAGATCGCTTCAGATCATCCTCCTCCTGCCTCTCAGGCTTAGGAGCGTTCGCTAGAGGCGACAAATATCATAATATATCCAGATATGGATAAAACTGGAT